AAAATGTTTACATTAGAGACAGGGTGCCTTAAAAGCCTTATCTTAATCTCATACCTACCATTTTATTTTATACATCTTCTGTCAATGAGGAGGGGGTGATCCTATGAACTTTGAATTCATAAGGTATGGATAAAAATAAACTTGTAAAAACATGAAAGATTCAGAGATTTGAGATTCATGTGGGGTAAGAGTATACTTTTAAGTAATACATATTCATTTATACTATAAACCAAAAGTAGAACTAACTTGAAATATCAGATCTTAAGGCTTCTGCATCTAAGATCAGAACTTTCAGGAGAAAGTGACAACAGATGAAAAGTATTTTAAGTCACAGAAAAGAGGAACAATTTGATAAAAGAAACTGATCCGACGCAATTATTTCAGTTATGGCTAAAAAAAAAAAGGCTGATGTATAAGTAATATCTAACTCATAGAAATCAGGTAACAGAATACTTATGAATATCAGAAGTGGATTTTAAATCCCCGCATTGGGCGTTCTACCTCACTATAATTACTAGAGAGAAAAATTGGAGCAGAAAGAAAAAAAGATGACAGATTTGCTGCTCTCAAGGCACCCTGCAATTATTAGATCTCTTGTAACAAACTTAGAAATTCTCCATTAAGAAATGTATTCGTTTGGAAATAGATTACCACTGGTCCTGTTGAAAGGAGAAAAAACAAATAAACCAAATTTTCTTCTGGATGGTCTTTCTCCTGTATCTAAATCTTAATCAATATGAAGCTAAAGGTTTGACTATCTTTCCTTGAAGTTGGTATATAATATAAATGCAAACAGTTAATGAAGAATACTTGCATCTTAAACTTCCAAAGTGCCCAGACAAATCATGGTGATTTTGACAAACTATGCTAATTAAGGCACCCTGTTAACATTTTAGACTGTAGTTACAGTGATATCCTAAAGTGTCTATGGCTTTGAAGTTTCTCCTGTCTTCAGAATGAGCTTGTAGCATTGCATACTGCCCTGTCATTAAGAATGTTAGTGTGTCAGGTGTCTGAACTGTCACCACCTACATTCCTGTTGTCCTGTTTCACAGTAACATCGCATACTTCCATCAAGCAGTCTAAATTGCTTCCTGTAAATGATAAGGCTTAGGGATTTTCATTCTTTTTCTGAAATCCACCAACTGTTTTCTACGTTAAGCAGCCAAGTTCAGTAGGAGCTTGTGGGACAAAATCAAGTGTTTAATAACTCAAAGCCCACCACCCAGCTATTATTCATATATCCATCCCTCCATGTATTCAGAATTTACTAAATGTCTACTATATATGAGTGTGTATGTGTGTGTGTGTGTGTGTGTGTGTGTGTGTGTATACTGTTAGTTTTTCAACTCACATGCTTCTTTAACTTTGATGAGGCATCATTTAAATCTAGTGATTTGCCATGAACACTTCATTCTCAGACAAGGGGATAAATGACAATCTAGAGTCCCCATAGACATATACATGAGGAGTAAACTGGTCAGCAAACTTGTGGATTCTCTCTACTGCATTAACAAAATCTCTAGCTAAACCAGTTTACTCACCAGCACTTAATTTCGAGGACAAATACTTTCTTAAATAAAAAAAAGTTATGACAAAAGGCCATGAAATTCCTAGAAAGAAGTAATACTTGAAGTCAGGATGGGACAAATTCTATGTTCTCGTATTTTCTCAGTACAAGACAATAAGGTGCTATATTTGTCACTCAAACTTACAGACACCAAAATGTCTTGTCATTGGAAACTCTTCCTGAGTTGGACTGAATTAACTTGAGCAACAGAATTTGAAGATGAATGAAACAATAATATATGAGTGGAATTATTTCATTGTTATTGAATGCTTTAAGTGGTACAGCCTAGTGGTTAAAGTGTGAGCTTTAGAGTTTAAATTCAGACCCCACCATTTAACTAAACTTGTAAAACTTAAGCAAGTTATTTAATGCCCCTAAGTTTCAGTTTATTCACCTGTAAATTAGGGATATTACCACCTCCTGAGTTTTTCTGAGGATTAAATGGGATTTGATACATAGTAAGTGCTTAATTAAAAAAGTATTAGACTTTGCTTTTATTAGTTTCTCTCCTGATTGCCTTTCTTCCCAGATGAACTCACCATTTTAAATAGAAGGCTTATAAATTTGTTTCTTACAAACATGAATTAGTGATATCTTTGATTTTGATCTTTAATGGTTATGAGTTTTGCCAACAGAGAGAACTTCAATATTCATAGGAGACCCACAAATATTTTATGAGTTATACTGGCATACTGACAGAAGCACTGCAAGCTTGGAATTGATGGAACAAACACAACACAAAAAGAAAAAAGATCTTTGAACTCAAAACCTCTACAAGGAATAAGCAGGCTGAGAAAAACACGCAGTTGCAAAAACACAGGCCACCTTTCAAGGAAAAGGAACGATGATTCAAAGGATGGAACCGAAAGCTCAGAGGGCTGAACCAAGAGCCAGGGAGATTCACCACTAGTAAGTAGAAAGACTGCGTCTTCATCAGGGGACCTTCCAAAGATTTGCCCAGATGGATTTCAGAACTGCTGTGGATGGCTCACTCCTTTGTAACCCAGTGTTTCCCTATTTTGAACAGGAGTGTTACAGACGTTATCTTTGCCTGACCCACTCCCCCCATATTGGCTGCGTGTGTGTGTGTGGGGCACATACTTGTCTCTTTAGTTTTCAGGTCAGTAGATTGAGAGGAGCTGTACTTAAGGAATTATACCTGAGGAGCATCACTTGCACCTGGACTGGATTTAGCTGAGATTCTGGATTCAGGCTAATGATGTATTGGAATGACTCTTGCAGGGGTGTTAGGAGAGGGTGAGTGTATTCTGCATGTGTGAGGAAGGTAAAATAAATTGTGGCAGATTGTAATGTTTTTAAAATAAGTTGTGATCAGAGAGTGAACAATCCACCCCTCAAAAGGTGGAGCTCAATTCCTCTCATTTTGAATAAGAGCTGAACTTAGTGACTCATTAGTAACCAACAAATATGGTACGAAAGATGGTATTTAATGTCTAGATTAGGTCAGCCTCCTCTTTGCTCTCTCAGACACTTACTCTGGGGGAGAACACTCAAACAGCCTCAGGTAAAGGTCCACGTGGTGAGGAACTGTGGCCTCCTGCCACCCATGAGAGTGACCCATCTGAAGAACAGAAACCGCCAGACCAGTCAAGCCTTCAGATGACAGCAGCCCTGGCTGATTGATGTCTTGACTGTAACTTCATGACAGACCTTGAGCCAGAACCACTCAGCTAAGCTGCAACTAAATTCCTGACCCACAGAAACTATGATATAATTAAAGCTTGTTGTTTTAAGTTGCAAAATTTTGGGGTAATTTGCTATTTAGCAATAGGTAATGAATACAGGCTACTATGTATCATTTCCTTTAGTGAAAAGAAAAGTTTATTGTATTAAAAGAAATTTGAAAACCACTGACCTAAAACATGGCACGTAGACAAAATTTATACACTTTCACAAACAATATTTTAAATTCATTAGCAAAGATCTAGATGGGAAAATGATCAATCCATAATTCTTTTAAAACTTCTTTGTTCCTATCTGGGCTGAAAATGACCACTCTTGCTATATGAATATGGAAATGACAACCTATATATCTGCCCTTTCCCATTATTTCATTAAGTTCCCAAGGCATAAGTAAAATTTGTACTTTTAAGCTGATTTACAAATGAAAATACATAAATGTTTTAAAAAATTATATAATCTACTGAAAGTATGCTGTCTTTAATGGGTAAATAATAAGACAAAAACCCTGGCATGGAAATTTAGTTTAGTACTTCTTCCTTTTAAACTTTACAGTTAGAATTGAATGGTCCTGTTTGGAGTACTTCCCAAAGAAATCTCCATATTTAATAACCCTGAACAAAATCTGAACTTCATCTCATTCTTTCAGTTACGTTATACTATATGTTACTATAATCATTCGGCTAATAAGTTCTTAAAAATAGGATTTCTTTAGAAGAGAAAATATATCTATTGTGATATATTTAACAAATAATTAACAAGCCCTTTAAGTATTTATAAACACAGAAACTCAGGTTTGCATTAAAGAAGGTATTGAATATTTACTCCCTCATGTTGAATTCTCTGGTTAGTCACCTTTAAATTTAAGCTATACTTAAATTCCTGAAAGCTTGCATTGTTTTTATAACTTGTACTTGCTTTTATTGAGGCCACTGGTATAGGAGAATTACTCAAGAGTGGAATTCCCCTTTGGCTTTGGACTCATCTTCTGTGACTGAATTCACAAGGGCACAACAAAAATGATTTACCAGGGCCTCCTCAGGCACTTCTATGCCTTGATGCTTATTTTAGTACCTAAGTTGGAAACCTTATATGACCTTAACCTGGGCATCATGTATCTATGTGTGCTGAACTCTGCCTTAAAGGGCCCATGATCTTTATTATGCATCAAGTTAGAAATTCATTTTGCATCTTAAATCAAGCTCTTTTCTCGTCTCCCATCACTTACGCGTGAGCTTTGCAATTCCACTAAGGGTAAGAAAACTAACAAATCACTTGAATATGATTTACAAAGTCTGGCTGTTATTGTGTAGGCTGCTCTGAGTGTCAAGGTACCCAAGGGAAGAAGAAAATATGTGCATGAAATGTACCTAGCTCATTCCTTCATTCCTAATGCTTCAGTCATGCCTTTCATTTCTTCCTGGATATTCAGTCTGAACTGGGTGTCCTTGAGCTCAGGAGCATCTGTTGTCTTCCTTTAATGAAACATTACATCCAGGAATCACACAAAGAACATTTAGACCACCAAGACAGTGCTATAGTTTGTTACTACAGCCTTTGCATATCAACTATATAAATTAGGTGTTCATTTTGCCTCTGAAAGATTAGGGGCAACTCGTCACAATTCCTCCACTCCTCCCCTAAACTGAGAGTTAAGATACCTCCTACTTCATTATATATCAAGGTTCCAAAGAAGAAAAATTATAGCCATGTAATTATTTCAACTCACAGGACTTTGCAAGATCTGAGTAACTCGTTTCCTCTGCTCCATCATGTTGAAGTCTTGTCGCAGGTCAGGAGACATGTTCCTCTCCCTGATGTATTCTGGGTCATTTTCATTGATGCGGTCAAAATACCTCTCTTTGTGAGGCATGCTGGGAGGAGGGGGTGTGGTGATCACTCCTTGGCTGGCATCTGAACTCATGCTTCAAGCCTGCTGAGTCCCCTTATCTGTATTAATAAACACAAAAGAGGACATTCATGGTAAATTCATTGTTCAATTCAACTTTTTCATCGGTCAAGCACAATTTTTTTTTTTGCCCTCAGAGTAACAGTGGTAACTTTCTTTAAAAAGTAGCTTCTTAATAAATATTAGAACAATTTTTTATTAAGGTAAAAGTATCTTGGATGATAATTGATATTTTCAGAGCTAATGGAAACTGTGGTTCAATTATAATAATGTCATCAACTGTTGTTTCATTTTTAAAGGAATGACTGAAATATATAAAAGTAAAATGCCACATGTATGATGGTGAAATTCCATAATTAGGGAGTGCTGTTAGCAGAGCTTCCCTTTCTCTCTTACTCATGATTATATGTTAGACTAAACTCTGGCCATATTTAATAACCACTACCTTTTTATAGTGACTGCAAGTTACCAACATATGAGAGAAACACAGCTTTCAAGTTCTTTAAATGATTCAACAACTTCCCGGGGAAAATGTAGGAATTATTAAGTTGGCTAGACTATGTAACTTTAGCAGATAGTGGCTTCAAATCCCCAAGTCAGAAACAACAAAAAGCTATTCAGAAAATACACGATTCAATTAATTATCATGCTCTCACTGATACTTAGGACAATCCTTGATTTTAACTAGGGAAACAAATTCACTTGGGCTTTGCTATAGCTGAGGACCTAACCAACTATAGACAGATCAACAGGGCAGTCATCTAACACTCCCCCCTCAACCCCGCCTGCGATCTCCGTGTTAGAAGTTGATGAAATCGTCTATCTCAGTGCTTCTCAAATTGTCTAGTGTGACTTTCTCCAATTCACTGTGGGCCACTATTTTTGTAAAATACAAAATGATGTATTTAGATGTCATGGCATTGCCTAACAGCAAAAGTTTCTAAACACTTAATATCATAGTCTGTACTTGTCACAGGCAGTCCAGTCTGCAGACTGGCACTGGAGCCTTAGCCACACTTAGAGTAGCAATGACGTAGCAGGGAGGAACAGTCACTGCCAACTAAAGCAGTGCTTTCTTGAACTGTCAGAGGTGAATATGGCTTTAGGACTAAATCGAGAGAAAGGGAGACCACTGACTAGTGTCTTCTTTTCTCTAATTCTTTTCAACGGAGTACAGAAAATGGAAAAATGAACAAGGAAGAAGAAAAGGAAATAACAAAGAAATTGTAAAAATGGTTTTGCTTAACAATTTTTTTCTACAGGTGGTGACTTCCATTCAAATGCTACCTGTTCAATATAAATGACCGGGTAACAGGAAAACCGTTCTAACTACAAAATGATATTTTCAGAAGTGATTATTTGCTTGAGAAGAATCACTTCAGAATAAGGGAAGTTCAATGTAAAACATCCAAGTATTATTTTTCTATTTATGCAGAAAACGAAGGGGAGAGAAGTTTCTATGGACCTGCAACTAACTCTGCAGATTCTTCCCACCTCGAAGTCCCAGCAGGACACTTTTCTAGATAGATCTATAGGGGAAAGGCAAAGGACACTTCATCTTAGAAATCTGAATCCCTCATAAAGGCCAGAGACATCTGGTCTCATCTTTTAAACACAGTAATGACCAATGAGGTTATTGAATTTGTCTCTAATGATAGTCTTCTCTGATAGACTTCAACTTTAACGCTTCCTTGACCCAATTTAGCCCAAGCAAACTAATTACAGGACATTAAAATGAGTGTGTGCTAATTAAATGTGTTCTTCACAGGATAAATTGTCAGTTTTTTTCTTTTTTACACAACATCCATTACTAATGGAATGACCCTGGCCTTATTATATTCTTCAGAAATTAGGTTTTGCCGTACTGTTATTAGCTTGGCTTACCAACCTACGGCATTTACCATGATCCTGCTATTATCCAAAAATGTGGTACACAGAGCACCAACTATAAGAAACTTTTATTTTTTCATATCCAGCTGGGTTATCAGAAGTCTAGAGGTCTAACCAATCTTTGGAACCTAATTTTCTTCTAAGCTGTTTATATTAGGTCCATTTGAACTCCTTTAAACAGCTTACTGCTAGCAGATAGGAAGTTTAAGGAGAATTAAAGTTAAAAAAACCAATTCACATATATTAGTAAATGTTATGCTGACTTTAAATGGCCAAGTACAGACTAAGTGGGTACTCAATTAACAATTGGGACATCATTTAGCAAAGGAATCAATTCTATTTTAGTTTACCAGTAGGCCACCAGCTTCTTAAGTAATTTTTAAAGAGACAGTCCACAAATATTGCCTTAAACTGGATATTAACCTATTCCTCAATCCCCAAAGCACTTTGGGGATTCCCCAAAGCTTAATGGAGAATAAAGTTAGATAATCAGCTTGTGTCTAACTGAATTTGTTGATGTTTGTAAAATAATTTTATGAAAACACAGCAAAAAGTAAAGAACTGTGGTGGTAGAGTCACTTAATTGTCCCAGCATTGATTTAAGAAACTGATAAATGAGACACTGATAAGTAAAAGCTTACAGTTTGAAGAACTCTTGATGAATGCATTTTTAGGTGAGTAAGGTAAAGAGGAAGATACATCCAACTACCCATTTTAATAATAAAAGAATGTACGAGTACTATATATGTACAACACTTTATAGTTATAGCATCCCTTATACCTTTCTATCTTACTTTATCTTCACAACTACACGATGAGATAGAGGTTCATAATCTAGAGGTTCAGTGGATTAAACATCCTGCCCCAAATCATACTGCTTATATCTTAGTCAATACTCAAAGGCACGATTTCTGTCTCCTAGTTCACTTTATAATGACACATACTATTTTACATATCACAAAACATTAAGAGGGCTACAGAGTTTTGAGTCTTTTAGTCTACAGTCTGTCCTAAATATTTAACAATTGGAGCTTATAAAATCTGTCAAAAATTAAGGAAATAACATCCAAAAAAGAAATATAAAATTAGAAATGACTCAAAACACTCTGACCTTTTTAAAACTTCAAAAGCTCACTATTTAACTTAGCTTTTTAATATAAGAAGTTTGAAAGCTTTTATGTATTTGGAATAAGAATTGAGAATTTATAAAAAGATATAGGAGAAAGAATAAGAATATTAACTTGTCATTTAAGTATTTTATACATAGATGCTGAACAATAAGAGTTTTATATATATTTTAAGCCAATCATAAGCACAACTGATTATCTGCAGTTTTGCACACCAAGTACTACAGAGTGAACTGTTATTTCAAGACTTGAAAAAATTTAGGATCCACAAGATTACTTGAACATAAACAGACAGAATTCAGAGAAATATGGGAGAAGCTTGCAGCACTATTCACAGTAGCCAAGATAATGGAAACAGCCCAACTGTCCATTGATGGATGAGTGGATTTAAAAATGTGGTACATACATACAATGGAATATTATTCAACCATAAAAAGAAAGAAATCCTGCCTTTTTCAACAACATGGATGGACCCTGAGGGCATTATGTTAAATGAAATAAATCAGACGGAAAAAAACTTGTACATGCCATGTTCATCGTTGCACTACTCACAACAGCCAAAAGGTGGAACCAACCCAAATGTCCATCAACTGATGAATGGATAAACAATACATGTACAATAGTATGTCCACATAATGGAATATTATTCAGCCATAGAAGGAACGAAGTACAGATACATCTACAACATGGATGAAGCTCAAAAACGTTACGCTAAGAAAAGACGCCAGACACAAAAAGCTACCCATCATATATTTCCATTTATATGACATTAACAGAATAGGCAATTCCATGGAGACAGGAAGCAGATTGGTGGTTGCCAGGGGCTAGGGGGAAGGACAAATAGAGACTGACTGCTTAATGTGCACTGAGTTTCTGTTTGGGGTGATGAAGTTCTTTTTTTTTTTTTAAGCTGAGCCGTCCTGCTACCTGTTGGCAGCTCAGCGGCTGCTCAGCTCGGGCTGGACTCAAACCGCTGTTGCTCAGAGCTCAAACTCTTGAGCGAGCTCTTAACCAACTGAGCCACTCGGCCGGCCCTTGGGGTGATGAAGTTCTGAATCTAGATAGTGTGATGGCTGCACGGCACTGCAGGTATACTTAATGCCACCAAACTGTACACTTTAAAATGGTTAAAATAAATTTTATGTTATAAGTATTTTACCACAATAAGAAAATAACTCAAAATGGATCACAGACTTAACTGTAAAACTATAAAACTTTTAGAAAAAAAAACATAGGAGAAAATCTTCAGGATCTAGGGCCAGGCAAAGAGTTCTCGGGTTTGACACAAAGACATGATCCATAAAGGGAAAGTGATACACTGGACCTCACCAAAATTTAAAGTGTTTGTCTGCAAAGACCTCTTAAGAGGATAAAGCCTACAGACCATGAGAAAAAATTTGCAAACTACACGTCCAACAAAGGACTGGTATGTATAACATAACAAACTATCAAAACTCAACAGTTAAAAAAATATCCAACAGTTCAATTAGAATATGGGGAAAAACAGGAACAGACATTTCACCAAAGAGGACTGTAAATAAGCACATATACACAGTCGGTAAGCACATAAAAAGATGCTTAGCATCATTAGTCATTAGGAAATGCAAATTAAAATCACAAGATACCACCATACAAGTAGCAGAATGGCTAAAAACCACTGACAGCCCCAAATGCTGGGAAAGATGCTGAGAAGCGGGGTCCCTTACACATTGCTGGTAGGAATGCAAAGTGGTACAGCAACTCTGGCAAACAGTTTGGCATTTTCTTAAAAAACAAAATGTGCAACTACCGTATTTATTACTTAACAATTGAATTCCTGGTCATTTAACCAAGAAAAAGGAAACATATGTTTCCATATCAAAACACAAAAATCTATACCCAAATTTATAGTAGCTTCATTTGTAACCATCAAAGATTGGAAACAATCTAGATGTCCTTCAACAGGTGAATGATGAAGCAAACTGTGGTACATCCATATTATGTGATATTATAAATGCAATGAAAAGGAGTGAATTACTGATACA